TCTTAAACTAAATCCTTCTAAATGTTAGGCTGTTAATTTGACTTTGTAGATATAAAAGAAAGTTAAGTGATGAAGATGTTAATTCCCATGACCGTTGTAAAATTGATGATAGCGATGATATGGAAATCAAGTGTAACTTTAAGTATCTTGGACTAATTCTTTCCCTTCTGACCTACCCATCCTGGTCTTCTCATGTCTTAGAGATTTCTAAAAGAATATTTCGTCTGACTTTTATGCATTAAGAAAAAGAAGCTAAGGCACTCCTCCTCTTACAGTTTGTCAACTTGTGCATCCTACCTATCCTTCTTTACTCTTCACCTTTATGCAGAGTGATGGTGTCCCATTGGGTAATTTCAAAAGACCTTCAACACTCACGTCTAAGAATAAAAATTCTACTATATCATATTTTGTGGCACATATTTTATGCAATGAAAATAGTGTCACGGCACGAACTAACTAACTAACTAACTAACCTTCTTTCCACTAGTAAATAAGCCATTTTCTCCATTCTTATACCATCAAGTCTTACGGTTATTATTTCTATCATATTTATAGTTCCCTCATTTAGGCTCTGTAATAATTGTCATTTTTCCCTTCACCATGCCCTATGAACAGAACACTGGATTCAAATACTCTATAATATGCCAAGATTTCCACACTGACTGTTTCGACAATACTGTTTGAAACAAACTCACTGTTATTATTATTATTATTGTAACTATTCTCATTTTATACTTTGTACAATTTTCACTTCCTACTGTAAATATGGACAAGTTCCTGTGGTTAATTTTTTTATATTTTTATTTTAAGTAAATTAAATGCGAGATATTGTGGCAAATGCTGAGAATTCCATTCTGTATTATAAGTACTGTCTGTTTTGGAATAAAGCAGATTATTATTATTATTATTACTATTATTATTGAACATATATAAAATCTCATTTTTACAATTTTATGCTACCGCATACAGTCTATTGCATTAGAACTGTTTTATTTCTTTTTATATCCCAGTGAGGCTCATTCAACCCCTCTCCTCTATAGACAGGTGATAGATGGGGTACCAATGGACTCTCCCATTGTGTCCCCCCCCCCATGTTAGCAGATTTCTTTCTTTCTCAGTTGACTAGTAAATAGTCCTTTAAACAGACTTATCACAAAAATTCTCATTTTATTCCCCCGATATATAAATAGATGAGACACATTCATCTCTTTTTGTGTGTGTGAAAATGACGTACATTCAGATATCGAATTCCATGTGTGAAGGGGAATTCTTTTTCAGACATCCCACTGATAAAATAGAATTTATATCAGAAAAGTACTTGAACCGATCAATAGACACATTTTCACAATTGGCTTTGTTCCTCTCTAGTAGAAGAGAAACTTGGTAAAGACCTTCAGCTATTGAGTGAGAGGCATTTGTTTAGAAGATGAGATTAAAGACGAACTTATGGTTGTATAGGACATGTTAACTGAAAAAGAACTATTCCCTAGTATCCTCAAAGGAGAAAATCGACTTAAAGAACATTTAATGCCGATTGACTGCAGTTTATATTTTCTACACAGGACAGGTTGTAATTCTGAAATTGAATGAAAAATGAAGTACCTAGGCTAGCTAGTAGCTAGCTAGCCACCTCTAATTCTATCTATCAGTTCAACTTTTCCTGTGGACTAGTCATATTAGTCGTTGTACACTCTAAGAACCTAATTTCTTGTCCTCACGAATACCTACTATTGTGCTTAAATAAAGGTATTATTATTATTATTGCTATTATTAAATACAATGGATATCTGTGTTGCTATGCTCTATGCACTGGTCAGCCAGCTAACTAACTAACTAGCAGAGTCAACAACCAAAATCAATCGTATGCAAAATATAAAAGTGAGTATGTTTCACTTCAATAGTGTGAGTGGATCAACACTTCATACCGTTCAAGATCATGTTTAGCCACCACAGACAGTTTCCTTTGGAAACTTGTCATAGTATAAATAGCAGTCAAGAAAGATGCAACCACATACTACTATCACTAATACTACTGATTAACCGATATAAGTAGTTGGTTACTCTTAAATGTATTTTGTGTTGACCAGTTCGGCGGTCAAATAGTTATAACCAGAATTTCAGGTGATTGGAATAGATTCACGGCTGTCTCTCTCTCTCTCTCTGTCTCTTCGTCTTAGTTGAGGCAAACCTGAATGAGGAGGAGTAGATGAGCACCTCTATAAAACGGGGCAACAACGATCCAGTGCTTGGATTTCTCCTCTCTCTCTGACTAGTTGTATATCAAGAATTATCGGTTAAGATGAGTGGGGTATCCAACTACTACTTTCACTCAATCAGTAGTATATAACAGCATGCATTAAATGAACATGATAGACATTGATATGCATTAATATACTACTATTATTTTATTAGTATTATAATTATGATTATTAGATGAAAATCTGTTGATAAACTGAACTAACGCTTAAACCTATCAAGGAAATAACGAAGCCGTTGCACTGAGCAGTCAGTCAGTCAGTCAGTATTAAGTAGAAAGAGCCAGGTAGGTTATAACTCTGCCAATCATCAGAAAACTAAGATTTTCTTTGGGTGGAGTGGGGTGGATGAGGCGAGGTGAGGCGAGACGAGAAAGTGATGAAGCCGACTTTTGGGACAACTTCATCACTAAGCTGTCTTGGGCTAATTAACCGGATAAACGGCAATGCTATCTCATAATCCGCAAATATTTATGAAGCTATAAACTCATGTTATGTAATGATATTAGTGATATGATTTCACAGGTTATTCAGCTAAGAAATATTTCTGTAGCAATACTTCGGTGTTGAAGAGGATGCAGGAGAAATACCTTCAAAAAGAATGGATATCCTCAAAATTCCATCGAAAAAGTCTTTAAACTCTAGTCATAACAACCGACAACAAGCCAACGACAAAGACCACAATGAAATTTATCCTACCATATATCAGGAAAAATATCTGCGAAATAACAGCTAGAATATTAAGACTGTTTGAAATAGATATAGCACACAAGCCAGCCAGCCAGCCAGCACAATCACTTCATTCATCGATAATGTGCAAGCCAAAAGATCCAACAGAAAAAAAAAGGTAAAATCAACTCCATTTACAAAATAAATAATTGTGTGAACTGTAACAGACAATACATCGGTCAACAAAGTGGGCATCCCCTTCGAATCAGAATCCAAGAACGCCACAAATTAGCTGTAAAGAGACATGATATATATATCCCTCTTTCATATCAACACATGTAGATAATTATGAACATCAATTTGATGATTGGGAGAATGTTGAAATTTTAAATAGAGGAAACACCACCGAAAGTGCAGTCAGGGAATTCCTAGAAGCCTGGTTGGTACTCAAGTAAATCAGCTAGCGATTAACAAACACACATTCCTACTGTAGACCAAATTTACCAGCTACTAATAAAAAGTAAATCACCATCACATGACAAGACAGTTAAAAAAATTCCAAGTCAATAAAAATATGATCAATCAATAGAGAGAGAGAGATGTAAATTAACAACTAGTCACGCACAACACTGGTTGCCAAGAGATACAATTAGATCATCATCATCATCATTCATGGAGAATTTAAATGAGTTCATTTCACATAACTAAATAAAACCTGAGCTGAAGAGGGATGTTGTCTAGAAGAGGGAGGACGATGACAGCGTCGTGATTAAACCATCAACCAGCTCCTCAGAAAACACACAGCACTGATTCGCTCTAAGTCATAAGATGAAGAAAGATAAGACACAAACAAACCTTCATTACTCTCTGAAATAAGTTTTGGAAGGTCTATTCCATTTCATACTAAAGAGCCAGATTCAGATTTTGCAGCACCAACACATGTGCGTCTGTCAGTCGGTTACTTCTTCTGCGTGGATTAGAAATTTGACTAGCGAGTCATGTAACAAAAGAATTTCTAACAGATTATTGGAGAGACTTTTATCAACAACAACAACAACAGCTCACTTCGCCACCAGCCAACCAACCAACCAAACTAAGACACACGACACGATGGAGACCGTTGGGGGTCATCATATCACATGAGTCAATCCATCTTTTTCGAAAAGGAAGTTATATTAAGAAGTGACAAGTTGTACATAGGTCTGAAAGTGACACGGAGGAGATCTTTTGAAGAGGCAATGAAACCCAGCTGATAACGACGAGGGAAGACCACAGAGGATAGATAGGACAAAGTGGAGAGGATCAATTGCTCAGCTATTTTTCTCGTAATATAAATAAGTAGGACTTTTCAGCTGGGTATATTTTGAGATTTGAAGAATGATACTCTGTTATATATGTCAAGTTAATTATTCACTGAGTTAGGTGTCAAACTGTGAACCGTTATGATTATATCAAAATTAATGATACTAACTGCTCATAGAAGCTTAGTAAGTAAGTAAGCACAGTGAGGCCTATTGTGTAGCCATGTTGTATAAGCAATACAAATAGAATGACTAAAACTCGCATCAAAGCCTCTTTCAATGTATTCTAGGCTAGTCAAAACAAAAATTTCAACAACAACAACAACAAAAAATACCAGCTTAAGGACTCAGAGACAAACTAGTATTAAATCGATTTATTTTATGCCCTAAGTGTATTTTAGTGTCGGGAAGGTACCCTATTTAACCAATTAACGTATTCTTGAATCTTACCAGGTTTACTCCGGATAGAGTAGTAAACCCAGAATGGGAGGGAAGATTGGACGTTACACGAGCAACCCTACATCTCAGCACTTGAAGTCTTTCTTGATGTCATTCCACTAGGAGTCACACATATACAAATTTAGATGTTTCACCCCCCTCTCTCTCTCTGATGTCAGTATATTACTGATGATCATGTTGTCATCATGCACCAGAGATGGTGGTGACACCTCATTAAATACCAAAACCTAAAGAACATCAATCAATCAATCTACAAAAAAACAGAGTAAGCCGTTTTGCCTTTTCAGAATAAGAAAAATAAAAAAGGGGAACTTACTTGTTGGGGTTTATTATTACTTGAGTTCATTTATTGATTTTTTCCGCTGTTGTTGTTGTGTTGTTATTCACGTAATTCCAAGAATAGGTGAAATACAATACACGATTTATAGATGTATATGTATGTAGTTATAGATACACAGATAGATCAATATATATCCCAAATCAATATTGATATAGAATGTTCTCAAAAAAGTTGAATATCTACAATAACTTCGGTGCATTGAATAGTAAATGAGTACTATAATCCACTGAAGAATTTCGTCTTTACCTCGGTGAGATTGTATTTCCTGATAAATGATGGCTGGATGGCTGGATGAATCGATCGATTAATGAATTTTTGTTTTTGTAATACAAGGATAGAAGTATGTTGGTATCGATGGGTAGATGATAGGCAAAACAATCACCAACAGGGGTACTTGAATGTGAACAATGAATCAGGCGATCAATCAATCAATCAATTAATCAATCGATAATATTTTTCGTTGAAACAAATTCAGAAATATATCAGAATGTCCAAATTCCAAAATAGGATAAATTTTTTTTCGTTTGTTTTATTTATCACCTAATCTGTCAATAATTATTTGAAGGCCATCTAAGGTGGTTGCCCATGTCAGTCTCCTTCAGTTGTAATATATAACATACGACAGATTGAGACAGATAGATACGTAGAGTCACGCAGAGTTCTTAACGAGATATATGGAGAGAGAGAGAGTACGTACGTATACTGACTACTTGCTGTGAGAAGAGTGCCGTCAAACTGTCAAAAACTGTCAGAAATTTATCGCATGAATACTGAGTGTGCTAGAACGCCTGTGATTGTACGTATGTATAAGTGTGTGCGTGCGTGTGTGGATAAAACGACCTGTCAAACTGTCTAAATTTTGATATACAAGGGGGTGGATAGAAAGATTTACAAAGGGTAGAAATATATATATGTATATAAAAAAGCCTATAGGTGTAGACAGACAAACAACCAAGCAGGCAGTTGATTTCACATGCATTTCAGATTGGATATTTCCGGTTGGTTGAAACCCTACAACCAACTTCCGTTCAACCAATCAGAATTCAAAAAGCCTCACATACCTAATCCGTACACACTGATTGGTTGATAAAGCGGACCAATAAGCGTTAAGTAAAAATGTCATGCTTTCTTTTTTCACGTAAATGATTGGTTCATTGAAATTCTTTAAAACTGTATTTTGTGGAGGTGGGTGGGATATACATTTCAACCAATCAGAATGTTAAGATGACAATAATGAAAAATTTGGTTTTTCTTTTGGATGAAGCTAGCTAGCAGCATGATGTTTCTCTTTTTTGCTTTAGAAGACAATTAATCATTTCTGCTTGAAAAAAGGAGAAATGATACATTTATGTATATATTCGTCCTGGTGTTTGGGTCGATGAGGGAATTAAATAATTGTTTTTCGTCTTCACGGGACATTCGTCATAAGAATTAGGTCATAGTGGTGTAATTGAATGACCTTGGATATCCTATCGATGACAGGCACAAAAACACACGAACTGTTTTCTTGATTTAAGATGAAAAATGGATTGAAAAATATCACTAGACAATATGCAAAAATAAAAAAAAGATTTCGCCTGTCAGTAACAGTATAGAAAAGCCCGTGAGCGTCAACACGCATACGCCCGCGCGCGCACACACACACGGATACTTGTGAAAAGCCAAGGTGTTTAACCTGTACAGCATTACTTGGTAATGGTAATGTGGTTTCTCCTTCATATCTTGGATTCCAAGTAGACTTCGAGGCTTCAGACATTAAGTTCTCTAGGTAATTCTAAGCAGTTAGCGACCCAAAACGAAACAACCTTATGATAAATGACCTTGAGGAATATCTTTCGACTAATCATATGAGTTTGAGGTAAAAGCGCGTAATTTAGAAAACAAATATTTATAGAAAAGAAGTGCAGTAATTCAAGAAAACCTTCCAATTTCTCATTGAAATCCTCATGGATAGGCCAAACCAATTTCTATGCATAAACTCGTCATGTTTCTTGACCCATCCTCTTTTTTAAGTGATCCCATAAGTTTCTATGGGATTAGTGTGATTCCCGTAGAAAGGATCAACAAAGTCGTCCGTACAATTGAAGATATTGTGAATATAATCCAAGGATGAGAGTTAGTTGTAACTAATCCATTGATCTGTGTGTATGGTTATACTAGGTAATACTAAAAGTTGGATTATTGGTTACAAAAAAATATTCATGCTACAGTTAGGTATTGTCTGGATGCATCATTTCCACAATGTGATGTCATATTATCTCAAAATCCATTGATGATTGGTAGTCAGTCTACCACGATTATATTTCCTTTTTATTACAGTACAGTTCCTTCCACATGAACAATTATACCGACGCTACCAAGTGTCTAGGTCATATTGTCCATTTTCCTGGAAATTATATCTCTATAGTACTGAAACCACTACACGACAGACATCTGTGAATATTCTTTTTCGAATACCGTCGATCTATCCAGTCTTTTTAAGATCCAGTTATGATGTGTCATGAGAATTTTCGTCAAAAGTAACTTGGCGACTTGGCGAAGATAGTGCCTACAGCATCTAGTAACCAACGTACAAATTATCTTCCTCGATAGTTTGAGCATCTCTACACAGATCAATGAATAGAGCCTGTGTGTATGTGTGTAAATGTTATTACTCTTCTACATCTGCATATCTTCTTCTTTCCTATGAGTCCATTATTCTAAACAGAACTTCAATACTAATTTAATTGAATTTTAGATTTTCCCGTCGATTGATTGGACCGAAGTGCTCAGTCTCAGGTTGACATGTCTGTCAGCTTCTTGTGCCAACGCTTCGACGACGTCTGGGCATTTAATTAGTGGCCCAAGTGGTCTAGTGGATAACGCTTTAGCGTTTGAAACTTTGGGCAGTGGGTTCGAGCCTCGGTGGGAACATCATCACTGACTCACTGGGGAATGTAGGCACATCCAGATGACGACTCTGAAATAGGACGAAATGCGTGTTATCCTGGATTCCACTGCTAGTCACAATCCACCGATTAAATACTAAATTTGGATGAAATTTCTACGGCATCCATAATACTGCCTATACGACCCATACTACCCTATCTGATTGGCTACGCAAAACGATTAATCCTTTTATTAGTTCGAGTTTCGTTGTGGGTTGCTATAGTCTAGAGTTGTCAGCTTTTAAAAAGGCCGTCACATAATGACTTATTGAATAAAACAAATTAATGCGTCGGTGGCACAGTGGTTAGGACTCTCGCCGACCATGCACATGGTACGGGGTTCGAGCCCACGCCGACGCACACCTGATAGTGCAATTGGCCTGAAATCTTAAAAAAAGGAAAGTAAAAAATAATTGGTTACAGGATTTCATCATGAGCTGACATCGGTTAGAGAAACATTGGAAAAACAGCATTGGAGTACTGGACAACTGTTTCGTCAGCCTAGTGATTGGGACTCTTCAGCAGTGCGCACCCACTGGGAGGAATTCGAATCTAGGACCTTCTGGTTACAAGGCAAGGGAGCTAGCTTGTAGACCATTATGCCACTGGGGCATGATCCAATAGCCAACCCATGAATTCTAACTTCAACCAGCTAATTCATGACGTAGCGCAACCAATTCGCGCAGTGTCTTCTACGTTAAGTTACTACCTCACCTTCAACCTGCTGCACACTAATGGTTACTATAGGTAACTATGTATGAAACAACTGACCCGTTTTTTATTTATTTATTCCAACAGGCTTTTGATCTTCACAGGTTCCTTATCGAAGATCAGTTTTTCGGTCAGAAAGGATAGACAGTAAGGATCTCTAACAACGGGGCGAATATGCAGAATTAAAATGGAGTGTGAACTGGACACACACACACACATGCATACACTGGTGAGGAGACTGCTGAGTGACTTCAAGCGACAAACAAACTCTTGAGATGGATCCGAATGAGGAGTATAACATGGAGGAGATTGTGTAATGAGGTGAGGAGATGACAGGTTTTGGGGCGATCGTGTATAAGTCGTGACCAGTAGGGTGCAGCAGGTCAGGTGTGAGGACAAATCCTGGCCACCGAAGACATTGGCTAGGGGTCGCGCTATATCGCGAATTGGCAGAAGTTCGAATTCATGCACTAGTCATTGGATCGGGTCCCAGTGGATTAATGGTCTACGAGATCGTTGGCCTTGTGACCAAAAGGTCCTGGGTTCGGCCCGTGTCGGTGGGTGTGTACTGGTAAAGATTCCCAAGCACTAGGCTGACGAAACAGCTGTCCAGTACTCACTCCCAGCCGGTTTTCCAATGGTTCTTTAACCAATGTCAGATCATGATGAAATCCTGTAACCAATCAATCAAATCCCTACAAACCAACACCTGAATATTATTATTGTTCAGTAGAGCCACACACGAATTCCAACAACAAATAATCATCTTCTTTCCCGTGTATCTCTGGAGGGTTTCATGACGGTGAGTGTCTCAAGGAAGTTATACGGTCAGTTGTACGGCAGAATACAGAAATGGGTGGTCTGCTGCCTTAAGACCGTGACCTGGTCGGTTGGCTGTTAATTCATAGAGTTAGCTGAAGCCGTTCTACTGGGGACTTATATATATATAATTCCTTTACTTTCCCAGCGGAACATAAGGAGGCTTCAAGCATCAGCTCCAGAGTCTCGGTAGTAGTTTTAGTTTTTTTTACAGAGTAGGGTTACTAACCTCACCTCTAGCCTTCCCTCTTTACTGGCCTTATCACCGACTTAATGGGGTTTCGGAGTGCTTCGGTCGAGGGTCAAACCCCGAACCGCGTGCGTAATTGGCCAGCGTTCTACCGCTGAATCACCGAAGCACATCTTGAAACTAAGGAGAATAATAATAATAATAATAATAATAAATAATTAGCCATCATAATTTTAAAGACTTATTTAATTAGATCGGCTCAGAAATCAACGTTCTAGCGAGAAGTTATGATCGGCAGTGGAGTACAGCAAGTTTTGTATGAGGGCAGATACTCGCCACGCATATGACATTCATTGGCTAGCACCATTTGTGCTATATCGCGCGTGAACTGGCAGGTAGAATTTGAAATTCCTTAGGCTGACCATTGGATCAGGTCCTGGGTTCGAATCCTACACTGTGAGTGAGTACTGATGACAGACAGGCTAATGAGGAGTCACAGGCACTAGAAGGACGAAAAACCTAACTGTCCAGTACTCGCTAGTTGATTTGATTGCAAACTAGTCAGTAACTAAGAGTGTAATGTCTCTAGTCCTTTGGTTGTTTTGGTGCAAGACTGAATTCTATCAGTCAGTCAGTCAGTCAGTCAGTCAGTCAGTCAGTCAGTCAGTCAGTCAGTCAGTCAGTCAGTCAGTCAGTCAGTCAGTCAGTCAGTCAGTCAGTCTCAGTCAGTCAGTCAGTCAGTCAGTCAGTCAGTCAGTCATCATCATCATCATCATCAGTCAGTCAGTCAGGTTTGCAATGTGTAGCCACCATTCTAGGTAACTTGCCATCACGGTGCACACATTGATTTGATGATATATATTAGATGGTTGGAGGTAATCGGCCACGGGAAACCTTGGAGCATCTAGGTTTCGTGCTAGTTGGCACTCTCCAATCAGTCAGCAAGGCATATCTGCAACAGCTGCCTTGAAGGAACTCATGTCCCTCCTTCTGAAATTCTACATTACAAACCTGACTGACTGATAGAATTTAGTCTGCACCAAACACCAAGGACTAGACACATTACACCCTAGTTATTGACTAGTATGCAATCAAAAATATCTAATACAGTCCTACAGGAGGTTAATGGCGAGCCCGAATAGCTGCTCAATGGTAACGTCTCTGACTGTAGCACTGTCTGAGTGAGGCGGGTTTGAATCTCAGAATGGACACGAGTAAGCCCCCTCAAGATTTCAGATACTACTACGCCTTGCTGACTGACTTTTTTTCCTTCACGTTCCCAGTGGGACATAGGGCCTCAAGCTAATGGCTTGAAGTTTCTGTAGCAGTGTTTAATTTTACAGGATGAGGTTGCTAGCCTCATACCCGACCACGTGCATGGTCGACGAGCGCCCTAACCGCTGTGCCACCGACGTTGACTGACTGGTGAGTGCCAACTAGCACGAAACCTAGGTGTAGATAGGGCCTCCTATAGCCGATTACCTCTCTAGTTGGTTTACCAATGGTTCTCCCTTTCTGTCGCTCTCTCTCTCTCTCTCAAATCAAATCAAATCTCAGTAAATCAATATTTCAAAAACATCTATCAGGTTAGAACATGTATAAGATGACAGAGATGACATTGACTCTGAAGAAGGCTGATCGTGTTTATTTTTTTAAACAGACTGATCTATATACACGTATATAGTTGTCTGAAAACCTTCATCTTTAGTGTATTTTGAAAAATGAAATAGGATTGATTTTTATGATCGATATATCGATCGTCAAAAAATATATGTATATCATATACATAGGCCATTTTATGTGATATTTAACGAATTATTATTATTATTATTATTACTATTATTGCCTCCCATAAAATGATAATCACGTTGATTGTTGTTATTATTATTACTATTATTATTTCAATAGAGGTAGCCCGCATTTTTCAGTGTTACGCAATCTTTCTAGTCAAGTCAGTATCTGTGGGTATGTGTGTATGTGAGTGTAGATTCAGTTCGATTTTCAAAATAAACTCAATACAAATAAAAAATGAGAGCAATAAAACATATTTTTTGAAACAAACGTTAAGCCGTTGAAAAGTAAAAAAAAACTAGAGAGAAAGAAAGGGGGGAGAGAGAGAAACGTGCTTGTTCTTCTTCTTGTCTTGTCTTGCGTTTTATGTAATTGACCTCGAACTGTCAGATTTGACAAGTAAATAACAGTAGTGATGACTACCGGTGGAATCCTTCAGGACAATGTGAATTTCGTCCTAAGTGGGACTCTTCAGCCATTGGATGTACTTGCATACTCCAATGGGGATGGTAATGAAGACCCTACTGAGACTTGAAAGCACCTTTACAAGGAGCGAGCCGATATGTCAGCAACAGGGGCGAAATATTTCAATCAAATCAATCAATCAATGGGAAAATCAATACTGAATTAAAAAAATAAATGATGATAATGTTTTGTTGAAAAGATGAAGGCGGAGGTGCTAGTTATTCAGTATGTATGTTAATTATTGTTACCAGTTGATCACAGATTGACATCAGTTAGCGAACTAGCATTGAAAACCAACCAGCTGGACAGCCAGCTGTTTCATCAGTCTAGTCGGGAATCGTCGGTAGTACACACTTACCACCACCACCACCACCAGGGGTCGAACACAGGACCTTCCAGTTACAAGACAAGCTAGCTCGTATAACATTCAGCCAGCCACTCTCTGGGATCCGACCCAATTCAATGGCTAACCCATTCTTGAATTCTAACTACTTCTACGAATTCGTGATGCATTTAATGTGACTGGCACGAACCAATCGGTGGTCATCACAGTGGGACATCCATCCTCGCACACTTGACTGGATGGACCTCAGTGATCACGACTTCTCACTAGAACTAACTCCAGGAAACTCTGTCCTGTAGCAAGTGACGATGACATTGGTTGATGCCAGTCACGCTAAATGCATCACGAATTGGTAGAAGTAGTTAGAATTCATGCGCATGGGCTAGCCACTGAGTCGGGTTGGGTCCCAGAGAATGGCTGTCTGAATGGTATACTAGGTAGCTTGCCTTGTAATCTGAAGGTCCTAGGTTCGAACCCCCCCCCCGGGTGAGTATGTAATGCTGAAGAGTCCAAAACTAGACTGATGAAACAGCTAGCTGTTCAATACTCCAGTTCTGGTTTTCAATGCCAGCTGTCTAACTGATATCAATCCATGGTCAAACTCGTATAAACTGATGAAAATCAATTGAAGACAGAATGAAACTTCTCAGAGTGTTGAAGGTGTACCTTGCGTTACCTATTGTGGTTTTGACATACTCATATGTGCTGTTTTGTCTACAGATGGAACGATGCTTCCTATATAAGTGGAAGAAGTAACCTCTTTCAATTTTCTCCCCCCCCCTGCAACAGTGATTGGTGTTGGTTTGTGGGTTGGTTGGTTGGTTGGTTGGCTGTCTTCATTATCTCCGTCTTCTCTATGTCCACTTGAAGTACTTACTATCTTCGTTGCCATTCCGCTTCTTCAGCCAGTTTGTTGGTTTTTACCTGTAAGTTTCCGAGTTTTTGTTTCATTAGACATAAATCATCCACACACACACACACACACACACACGGGAAATTCACATCTTCTAGATGGAGTCTTCTAATCACTCCAACATAATTTTGTCTTCCCTCCCTCCACATAGTCCACCACAATTAGGAATATCATCGGTGGTAATGGGAGGGGGGGTAGTCTCTCTGAATTTTCTGTTGTAGGTCATTTGACATGTGCCAATGTCGTATAGCTAAAATTAAATAGTCATTACAATCAGACAGTACTTTGAAAACTGATTGTACAGTAACAAGAGAGGTTGAGTAGTCATTGTTTGTTGATAAAAAAAATGATAAAATCCGATCGATCGTTTATCTGATTACTATTCATACAATGAGAGGCCTAATTGATACTTTGAATTTACGGTACGTTAGTTATCATTGAGTCGGTACACTGTTAGATTGAGTATTCCGATAACCAATCGGTGGCTGGAATCCCTCCGTCATCTAGATTTCCATTTCATGCCTTCAATGAATATGACACCCCCTCCCTCCACACACACACACACACAAGCAAAACTGGCAAGGAAACACATAAGTGGTAATCATAAGTTTTCAAGAGTTGGTTTGTAAGGATTCGATTTGTTTTTTACGAGTATAACCACAGATTGATATCAGTTAGAGAACCGGCATTGAAAACCAGCACTGGGTATTGGACAGTCAGCCGGCTATTTCATCAGTCTAGTTTTGGGAATTATCGGCAGTACGCACCCCCTAACACCACCACCACCACCAGGGTTCGAACCTAGGATCGCAAAAAAAGCCTGATCCTTACAAACCAAACTGTTGAAAATTATTAATCTGATACTCTCTACTAACTACTGGCTACAGGACGGAGTCTCCTGGAGTTAGTTCTAGACAGAAGTCCATCAAGTCATGTCGTGTGTGTGGATGGATGTCCCACCGATGACCACCGATTGGTTGGTGCCAGTCACGTTAAATGCATCACGAATCGGGCTAGCCATTGAATCGGGTCGGGTCCCAGAGAGTGGCTGGCTGAATGGTATACGATCTAGCTTTCCTTGTAACTGGAAGGTCATGTGTTCGAACCCTGGTGGTGATGGTGGTGGTAGGGGTACGTACTCTCGATGATTCTCAAGCGCTAGACTGATGAAACAGCTGGCTGACTGGCTGTCCAGCAGTACTCCTTGGTTGGTTTTCAATGCTAAGCTCTCTAACTGATATCAATTTGTGGTTACTCTTAACAAAAAATGTAATCCTTAAAAAACTAAACCCTTGAAGATTGTCATTAGATATAAACATTAGAGATAGGAGTAGACATCGTTTCCGCCTCAAAAACAATAAAAACAAAAAAGGAAGTAAGCAAAACAGAAGAGAAACAACAACAACAACAACAACAAACGGAAAGATAAGCTTAACTACATCAAAAAAAAAGAAAGAAAAGAAATTGACTTGAAAAAAATATTGTTCCGCACTGATGATGATGATGATGAAACCAAAGAAAACAAAAGGACAAAAGATAAACAACTTCACTAATCAATGTAATAAACAAAACTCTCACTAATCATCATCGTGCATTTATACCCCGGTGATGAATTTGAATAAAGTAAGAACATTACAGTGGTGCTTTGTGCAGAATAAGAAGATGGTACCATGATTCTCTACTTTGCTACTACTACTACTACTACTACTACTACTACTACTACTACTACTACTACTACTACTACTACTACTACTACTACTACTACTACTACTACTACTACTACTACTACTACTACTACTACTACTACTACTACTACTACTACTACTACTACTACTACTACTACTACTACTACTACTACTACTACTACTACTACTACTACTACTACTACTACTACTACTACTACTACTACTACTACTACTACTACTACTACTACTACTACTACTACTACTACTACTACTACTACTACTACTACTACTACTACTACTACTACTACTACTACTACTACTACTACTACTACTACTACTACTACTACTACTACTACTACTACTACTACTACTACTACTACTACTACTACTACTACTACTACTACTACTACTACTACTACTACTACTACTACTACTACTACTACTACTACTACTACTACTACTACTACTACTACTACTACTACTACTACTACTACTACTACTACTACTACTACTACTACTACTACTACTACTACTACTACTACTACTACTACTACTACTACTACTACTACTACTACTACTACTACTACTACTACTACTACTACTACTACTACTACTACTACTACTACTACTACTACTACTACTACTACTACTACTACTACTACTACTACTACTACTACTACTACTACTACTACTACTACTACTACTACTACTACTACTACTACTACTACTACTACTACTACTACTACTACTACTACTACTACTACTACTACTACTACTACTACTACTACTACTACTACTACTACTACTACTACTACTACTACTACTACTACTACTACTACTACTACTACTACTACTACTACTACTACTACTACTACTACTACTACTACTACTACTACTACTACTACTACTACTACTACTACTACTACTACTACTACTACTACTACTACTACTACTACTACTACTACTACTACTACTACTACTACTACTACTACTACTACTACTACTACTACTACTACTACTACTACTACTACTACTACTACTACTACTACTACTACTACTACTACTACTACTACTACTACTACTACTACTACTACTACTACTACTACTACTACTACTACTACTACTACTACTACTACTACTACTACTACTACTACTACTACTACTACTACTACTACTACTACTACTACTACTACTACTACTACTACTACTACTACTACTACTACTACTACTACTACTACTACTACTACTACTACTACTACTACTACTACTACTACTACTACTACTACTACTACTACTACTACTACTACTACTACTACTACTACTACTACTACTACTACTACTACTACTACTACTACTACTACTACTACTACTACTACTACTACTACTACTACTACTACTACTACTACTACTACTACTACTACTACTACTACTACTACTACTACTACTACTACTACTACTACTACTACTACTACTACTACTACTACTACTACTACTACTACTACTACTACTACTACTACTACTACTACTACTACTACTACTACTACTACTACTACTACTACTACTACTACTACTACTACTACTACTACTACTACTACTACTACTACTACTACTACTACTACTACTACTACTACTACTACTACTACTACTACTACTACTACTACTACTACTACTACTACTACTACTACTACTACTACTACTACTACTACTACTACTACTACTACTACTACTACTACTACTACTACTACTACTACTACTACTACTACTACTACTACTACTACTACTACTACTACTACTACTACTACTACTACTACTACTACTACTACTACTACTACTACTACTACTACTACTACTACTACTACTACTACTACTACTACTACTACTACTACTACTACTACTACTACTACTACTACTACTACTACTACTACTACTACTACTACTACTACTACTACTACTACTACTACTACTACTACTACTACTACTACTACTACTACTACTACTACTACTACTACTACTACTACTACTACTACTACTACTACTACTACTACTACTACTACTACTACTACTACTACTACTACTACTACTACTACTACTACTACTACTACTACTACTACTACTACTACTACTACTACTACTACTACTACTACTACTACTACTACTACTACTACTACTACTACTACTACTACTACTACTACTACTACTACTACTACTACTACTACTACTACTACTACTACTACTACTACTACTACTACTACTACTACTACTACTACTACTACTACTACTACTACTACTACTACTACTACTACTACTACTACTACTACTACTACTACTACTACTACTACTACTACTACTACTACTACTACTACTACTACTACTACTACTACTACTACTACTACTACTACTACTACTACTACTACTACTACTACTACTACTACTACTACTACTACTACTACTACTACTACTACTACTACTACTACTACTACTACTACTACTACTACTACTACTACTACTACTACTACTACTACTACTACTACTACTACTACTACTACTACTACTACTACTACTACTACTACTACTACTACTACTACTACTACTACTACTACTACTACTACTACTACTACTACTACTACTACTACTACTACTACTACTACTACTACTACTACTACTACTACTACTACTACTACTACTACTACTACTACTACTACTACTACTACTACTACTACTACTACTACTACTACTACTACTACTACTACTACTACTACTACTACTACTACTACTACTACTACTACTACTACTACTACTACTACTACTACTACTACTACTACTACTACTACTACTACTACTACTACTACTACTACTACTACTACTACTACTACTACTACTACTACTACTACTACTACTACTACTACTACTACTACTACTACTACTACTACTACTACTACTACTACTACTACTACTACTACTACTACTACTACTACTACTACTACTACTACTACTACTACTACTACTACTACTACTACTACTACTACTACTACTACTACTACTACTACTACTACTACTACTACTACTACTACTACTACTACTACTACTACTACTACTACTACTACTACTACTACTACTACTACTACTACTACTACTACTACTACTACTACTACTACTACTACTACTACGACAATGCTGCATGCTATCAAGTTATCCACAACGGGAAACTTACGGAAGCCTTCGAAGTGAGGACAGGAGTGAGGCAAGGCTGTTTACTGTCACCAGTGACTTTCCTGATTGCAGTAGATTGGATAATGAGAGAAAAGACGGGCAATGAGGAAATAGGCGTAAATGGACTAACACAAAAAGCTTCGAGGATTTAGACTTCACCGATGATATATGTCTGATTTCCCACAAACTGGAAGATAGGCAAGTGAAAAGAAACAAGCTGGTAGAAGAAGCATCCAGAGAATATAGGACTTCAGGTGAACATAGAGAAAAGAGAGGTGATGAAGATTCCTGGCTAACACCAACAACCACAGCATCAACAACACACAACAATCAGCCAGCATAAATGGGAGGAACCTGAAAGAAACAATCTCCTTTACCTACCCACCTACCTGGGAAGCATCGTTTCAACTACAGGCGGACGGAACTGACGAGGATACCGAAGCCAGAATCGGGAAAGCAAGACGAGCTTTCATTACTCCGAAGTCTGTGTGGGGTTCAGCAGTACTAAGCATCAAAAATAAGATCCGGATTTTCAACTCCAATGTGAAGTCAATCAGTGCTACTTACTATATGGATCAGAGACTTGCACTGCGCGTCGCAAAGAGTACCTCAAACAAACTACAGACCTTCATCAACAGCTGCCTTTGCTCAATAATTCGCTCAAGATTTGGTGGACGGCCAGAAACAATCAACACCAAGGAAGGATCTCTGGCAATGAGCGAACCAACCCAGTAGGTACCGATTGTGCAACAAATAAACAGGAAGAAATGGAGGTGGATTGGCTGGCCATACTCTGAGGAGACGAACCATCAAGTGACATCACATGACAGGCCATCCATGAAGTGGAACTCGAAAGGGAAGAGGCGAGTTGGTCGTCATTGCAATGGTGACTTGGAGGAGGTCATGTGAAGGAAGAGGAGATGAAATCATCTGGACAGACCTGGAGCCAGGTGAAAACGTTGGCAGAGAACCGAACGCAATGGAGATGTGCAGCTGAAGCTCTATGTTCCTCTAGGAATTAAAGGAAATAATAATAATAATAATATAAAAGACGTTTTAATGTCTGCTATTCTCATTTCTCTTTGGTTTTCCCCTTAATATATTTCCCAATGTGATAACCTGAATTATTATTACGTAATAACACTTCAAGTTATCTTCTGATCATCTTTGTCTCTCCATCTCTTTCGCCCCCCCACACACACACTTACAGGTCGCCTTCAACTAACTGTGTATGCTTCATATTGAAGATCAAATGACCAGCCAATCAAGAACTTATTGCTCAACAAGAGAATTATGTTAAAGGAAATGGAGGTAAATTAAACACACGTCATTGAAGAGACCGTTGGGTGACATCGCGACCGGAATTCAGCCCATCGCCCGAGTGAAGCCCCCCCCCCAATTGATATGGTGATTATGTCTTCACCTTTCGATAGATTCTGGGACGGAACATACTTGACCTGAAAGTGACATTCGATTCCGTCGACCAATAGGCACTTTGGTGATATTTTGGTGCCGTGAAGGGAATACCGAGAAAAAATACATCACGCTGATCAAGGCACTCTACTCAAATTGATACAACCAACAAGGTGATAGTCTACGGAGATTTGTCATCTGACAAAAAAATGCAGTTGAGTCTTCCCAACACCTTGAGGAACAGCAATCTTCAAATTTTTTGGCATGCGATTTCCTCCCTCTGTCAAATAGACCATTTGAGCCAGACCAATCTTAACTTAGCTGAAGCCATTCATAGAAGATGATGGATGCTACAGGACTGAACTATATCGACTCAATTCTGGCTTAAAGATAAGTGGAGCGTGTTGATCACTTAACTTATTTGAGGATTTGCATCAACCAACGCCAGCGGGTTGATCGCTGACGAAATCTCAGCACCGATACAGAAGGCTGGTTTGGTACATGCCAGCCACCCTTCGAAATCTCTGGCTTAATAGACGTGATATCCGATTGACAGTCGAGCAAACAGGGCGTGTGTACTACTCAACAGTTCACTGCATCCTCCTTTATGACCGAGAGACATGGCCACTGAAAGCAGCAGATATGAAAAGGTCTTCTAGGTGTCTTTGATCATAAGTGCCTGAGTTCTATCTCCTGTGTGAAGTGGTATAATCGGATGAGCAATATTGAAGTTAGGCGTGGATGGAGTGCTAGGTAGGTGGGAGGGAGAATCAATCGACAAGTCAGTGAAGTTACATTGATTGAGATGGTTAGGACATGTGCTACTCATCGCCTTCCTCGACAGTGGCCAGTGTTAGCTGACATAGGATGGATGCTGTTGGAAAAAAGTTAGTGGTTGTCAATGAAATCCATAAAAGTTATTTGGAGCTAGTTACACAAGGGAAGTGTAGACTGGCTTCCTAATTGGGGTCCTGGGGTCTCCAACCAATAAAAGGTTGGAGAGAGAGAGAGACAATTGGTAATATGACACAAAATCGTTCTCAATGGCTACCGCAGATGCATTATCCAATAAAACACTAATGTTCGTCCATATTACTATTTTTCCCCACACACTCATACTTTTGTTTATTATCTTTCTATGCCTTTTGAATTCTCTCTTTACTCTCTGTTCTCGCTTTGTGTGCTACAAGGAGGTAGAGTGGCAATTCAAACTGCTTCACATCTCTGTGCAAAGAGTTCTCTGTTGAAATCAATCCATCTCATTCAGGTAGTCAATAGCCTCAAATGGGAAACAATAAATTGAGCGTAGGTACGAGAGGGTAACATGAAGGCGATTGTGTGAAGAGCAGGCGGAGAAGCCTAAGGAGGCGATGAGACCTTATAGATAAATCTCATTTAAAAGCCATTCAAAAAAGACCACAGATTAATCACACATTCATAAGCTTCTTTTTTCTTTCTTTCTTTCTTCAATTGATTGTCATTAGAGATAAACACCAGAGAGAGCGAGAGAGAGAGAGAGAGGGGGCGGTAGACATTGGAAGATTTGTTTTGTTTCTGCCACAACAGATACAACAAAGCAAAACACAAAACAAAATACAACAGAATAAAAAAAGAGTATTCAGTGGAAAAAAGATGAGATCAACAGCGCATCAACAAGAGGAGAAAAAACTTTTTTTTTTATCCTGCATAGATTGTCACTTGAAACAAATAAATAATCAAACAAAAACAAAATCTACAAGATAATCAAATCAAAACTGTCATTTTAGTGTGTGAGTGTTTATGAAATATCCTGACAGGATTTCACACCATGAGCTGACATCGGTCAGAGAACTATTGAGAAAACCAGCACTGGGAGTACTGGACATCTGCTTTTTCGTCAGCCTAGTGTTTAGGACTCTTCAGCAGTACGCACCCACCCCAACAGTTCGAACTAAGGACCTTCTGGCTAGGGGTCGCGCTATGTCATGAATTGGTGAGTAGAAGTTAGAATTCATGGGCTGACTGGCTATTGGATCGGGTCCCAGTGGCTCAATGGTCTACGAGCTAGCTCGCTAGCCTTGTAACCACAAGGTCCTGGGTTTTAACCCTGGTGGTAGGTGGGTGCGTGCTGCTGAAGAGTCCTAAACACTAGGCTGACGAAACAGCTGTCCAGTACTCCCAGCCGGTTTTCCAATAGGGTTGAGGATGGATGACTGCTTATGGGCAGTCGTGGAGTCAGTTACTATCGGTCAGTTAAACAAGATGAGGCTTAGGAGTACGTCCGCTTTGACTGGGAATCGAACTCGGATAGCCAAACTGTTTGGTTGCCATGCATTCTGACAATGAATGATCGATGCCTTTATTTATATATATATATTTGCATATGTACAGTGTTTATTTTACAGGATGGAGTTGCTAGCCTCATACCCAACCTTTCCTCTTTACCAGCATTATTTCTAACTTAGCGAGGTAAAGGAGTGAGTCTGTGGTCGGAAATCGAACCCCAGACCATGTGCATGGTCAGCGAGTGTCCTAACCGCTGTGCCACCGACGAACCCCAGACATTAGGGTCCGATTTAAATCCCTAAAAACTAACCCTTGAAAGCTAATCTGATGCTAATGAGTGATTGGCTGTAGAACGAATTTGACTGAAGTTCTGCTGGGAGGTTGTAACCCACAGTGGGGTCCAACTAACAAGTCACCACTGACATGACATTCATTGGCTGGTGCCAGTCACACTGAAATCGCCAAACGACAGAAGCTAGAATTCACGAGTTATTGAATTCTCTACCCAAGTGGCTGTATGGTCAAAGAAGCTTAATCTCATAACCTGAAGATCTCAGCTTCGATTCCTGGTGGATGAGTGCATACTAATGGAGAGTCTCAAATCAGAATGAAACAGTTGTCCAGTGCTTCCTTACTGGTTGGTCTTCAATGGTGATACCCTCCTCTAACTAATGTATCAATTCAATGTTCATTTTCAAGAGTCAGTTGGTCGTCGCGATTTAGATTTCTTTCAATTTTGATCACAATTTGATGTCAGTTAAATAACCATCACTGAAAACTACCACAAACTACTGGAAAGCTGTTTTCTTCTTCGTTCTTTAGGATTCATCGCAGTACTCACCCACCGTCAAGGTTTGAACCCAGGACCTTCTGATTACCAGTCGAGCTAGCTCATAGACCATTTAGCCACAGTAATCTGACTCAATGACTCATGGATTCTTCCCATTCCCGCCCAGATGGATCCCAATGGCGGTGATGAATTCTGACTATTAGAACTTCAGTAAACTTCGCCCTGTGCATCGGTGGCAAAATGGTTAGGACTCTCGTCAACCATGCACATGGTCCGAGGTTCAATCCCCTGCCACTGACGCACACCTGATATCTATGGTCGGCCTGGAAAATTTGGGCTGCCGATATCCATGCTGAAAATTCCATACTTGTACCAAAAATACAGTGTGGAGTCAAACTGTAATTAAAAACAAAAAAAAAAATAAAATATAAATTACTACCGAGCATCAAATTAGTTTTGTAGAGATCTGATGGGTTCCGAACTAGGACGAAACAGATAGCTGTCCAGTACTACCTATAGCTGGTTTTCAGTACTGGTTCTCTAACTGATA